GAAGGGAGTGGTGTGTGTATAGCTATGCATGTGTAATACAAAACAAAGCTTGCAAGGTGCCTGCAATTTGAAAGCTAGAAGGAATATTAAAAAAAAATAGAGCTCAAATCATCAACCCTTTCTGAAAGCTAAAATCTCATTTGCAACTCACACACCTTTAAGCTCTGGATAACTTTTGCTTTGGTCCCAGTGCTACACACAGCATCTGACATCTGGAACAGCTGAGACACTTCAGCACAGAAGATCAAACACTTCAAGAGTCTCAGAGTGGTTTGGGAAAGGGAAAACCCAGTTATTCTGAGTCAGGTAAGGTGATGTACTGCAAGTGATGTGCGGTACACACAGTGAAAAGAAACCAATAAATACAGGAAATGGAACCAAAATTTCAGGCAGGTTCTGACCCTTGATGGCCCAGCTCAGCCAATGGTGTATGGGCAGGGACCTCATCAGTGCATACCTGGTGAGAGGACAATTGTGCAGTTGCCTGCAAATAGGTTTCTGTTTTTATCTGGTACTTTTAATGTACCACAGACAGGGAAAAGGTGATGAAATAACATTTTTAACTCTGTAATTAGCACTGCAATAATGCTGGCTGCTTAAATCGGTTAATAATATTAAACAGGAGCTCTAATTTAATTATAGAGACACAAACCCAGGTATTTCTAAATGAGGATGGCTTCCCACCAATTCTATTTAATATAATTTTGCCTTCATGTGTCATGTAGATACTGGCCACTGCAGAGTGTGGCTGTGTTTGTGGGATTGCCCTGGATACCTTCAGAATAGACAGAAAAACACATTGCAATCTGGAGAGGAAACAGAAATGAAAGCTTCCCCCTTGGCCCTTGCTAGATTCCTTAAAAATAAATTTTAATATAATTTGAAAAGTTCTGTTTTTGGTACAGTTATTCCATTAGGTTTGGTTTCATTTCTGCTTCTAAAATAGAGGTTTCTGGAGACCTTGCATTAACTCCAGAGAGTTAATGCTGGCATTGAACAGAGGTATAAGTTATGAAGCAAATATAAAGGAGCATCCATTTCCATGTAGGATTAAATGCTGATTCATGCTAGTGCAGTATTTTTGATCCCCTAAGTTTAATAAAATTCAGGACAGGCAATAAGGAGTCGCAGACAAATTAAAATTTATTGAGACAGACAAAAATGCAACTATTTCAGACTACAGTTAAGCATTTACAGTCAACCAAAGGTAGCAAAATGCTCACATTCCACTTAAGTCCTTATGGAAAAAGCATTCAGAATTTACTATGCAGTTCTACTTACTATGATAGCCTACATCCATCTACAGTAGGGACATCAAACTGAAACACAGAATATTTGGATCTCTCCTTACAGATCTACACATTGAACAGTAACAGACATCAACAGCATTGAGAAAAGTATAAAAAGACCAAAACCCACCTACTGTAGAAAGGGCTTTTTGATGTGTAGTAACTGTACAAAGCAGTCTGTGGATGAAAGGATGGGATACAGGAGGGACTGCAAGAGAAGACAACAAATGGAGGAAGCGAAGCTTGAGCGACCTGGTGGTCTGGGTCAGGTGGTGACCTTAGATCTACATCAGTTGCTGCTTGAGGGAGAAAAGGCTACAAAACTCCTAATATCAAAATATTCCCATGCCAGAAATGTACACTGAGACTAACAGACTAGGCTGGAGAGGCAAAGAGAAGCATTCACTAACAAACAGTGTTGTTTTAAATATAAACTTTACATTTTCAATATAAACGGTAGAATAAATATTAAATAAACACTTCAAATGGTTTAAAATAATAGTACAGAATAGCTTAAAAAAAAAGGCAAAGAAAATAAAGAGGATTCTTTGTGTTCATAGCAAAGGCCAGTAATGACCCAAAAAACCTGGCTGTGCTGAAATCTGAACTCAACATTTTGATTTAACTACAGTAGTTCAAAGAAACATTAAAGCAATGCCTATCAGTATCTTCTTGTAGACTGTAATATGAAAAGAAAATGAGATTAAAAATTGGTTTTTGTTTCTAAAAGAATGGGACAACTCTGATTCCATTTGGTTTGTGTCTCTAAAAGAACGGGACAACTCAGATTCCATTTTTCACAATGAGAAAATGTTTGGAAGGTCAATGACTTGATTCAGATGGGAAGTCAGCCCGAAAAACCCTTTACAAGGCATGAAGAATGGAAGGGGCTTGATCTGGAAGAGTACTGGTTCTTGGTAGAATTGCTGGTCTCTTTATCACTATTTCATTAAATAGAAGATTTTCTTAATGCATCTCTCCAAACTGTATGTGTGGATGCACACATACATATGCACACACATATTTGTGCATAAATGTAGTTATACAGTCACACAGATATATATGTGTATATATGTATTTTTATATATATATATACACACATAGATACATATATACACAAAAATATGTATATTTATAGGCTACAGATCCCCCACCATGGGAAGATGCCAGTGGATCTCAAAAGGGCTTTGTTAAACAGCTTTGCAGGATTTGGGAACTTGCTCTCAAAGCAGTCCAGAGTCTGTGCTGCCCTTCCAAGCACGGCAGCCTGTGTGCCCTGCTCCTGCCTGGCTGGGACCCCTGGGATTGGGCACTGCTGCCCTGCAGCCCCCCAGCTTCCCAGCCCATAAAATGACACATTTCCCATGCTGGCTGAGTCAGAAGAACACTTGGATGAGTCAAACAGGCGACTGAGTGGTCACCAGGAGGGGAGAGGCTGCCTGGATCCAGGCCAGCAGGCTTAGAACAACTGGGTGTGTTTGTGTGTGTGTGTGTTTCTGAGCACAGGGGGATGTGCTGAGCCAGCCAAGGCACCTGCCCTCTCACCAGGCTGTGCTGGGCATGGAGCTGTTTCACTGGGACCCATCCCATGATTGAGCTGGTGAGTCTGGGACAGATACAAACCCTTCCAGCTGTGATTTGGAAGCATTGCATGTGAAAGATCACAGCCAGGAGACCACCAGTGGGTGCTGCTGCCATGTCTGTGCATGTAAACTCAAAGATGTTCACGTTCGCTTTTAAAGGCTTATTTAACAACTTTGATTTAACCATCTTGCAGTTTACATGTGACACAGCCCCCTGCAGCCTCAGGTACTGCCTGCAAGGGCTTGGATTCACAGACTTCACCCTGGGGAGGTGCAGGGCAGGAGAAGGGATTTGCTCTGTGACCTCTGATGTAAGGCATAGCCCAGGATAAGCTGTTGTGGAGGGACACAGGACTGCCAAAAACGCCCTAGCTCTGTGTGGAGAATGAGTCCAGTCAGGAGGATAAGCATAATCTGCTGATTGTGGAGCTCAGATTTATGTCAGAATGAAATGGCAGCTCTGTGCCACAAGCAGGTCTTGCACAGGACAGCAGAGCCAGAGAGTGTGGGGTTAATTAAGAAAACACCAGAGGCAAACTAGACAGGACATTTGAGAAGGAACCTACTGATGATGTTCAATTGCTTCCCACAAAATCATATTTAGGGAGACAGAAATGCTGGATTATCTGTTCCTTCTGCAAGCTGGCAGGATTTCTGTGAAAGGCAAATAGAAAAAGTGTGCACGTGTGTGTGTGTCTGTGTGCAGTGCAGCTCATGGAAAATGACTATTAAATATATTTTTCTAAAGCTATGGGAAAACCAAAGGGATTTATTTGAGGCAGGGCAGATTGCAGGCCTTTTGCAAGTGACTGTGATGGCAGATTTTTGGGAGGATGCAGGGGCGTGAAACAACAAATTCCTCATGGTTTTACACATCCTTCTGCATTAATAATGATTATGCAGGCTTGCTCTTTGTTCTCAGGTCATTGATCTGGATAAAAAGGAAATAAAAGAGGAGAAAACAGGAGAGCCCCTGCAGCACATGGTACCTGAAAGGAATTCCATTTCTGATCATGTCTGAAAGCAGAGGTCCTACCCAGAGGACTGCCAGGCAGGCACTGGCTTTGGATAGGGCTGAGAGCCAACATCCCCAGGCCAATGTACCTAACAAAATGACTTCTGCCAATCTCTGCAACCACAAGCACTGCTAAAATACTCACACCTGCATCCTAATGCAAGAGTGGGATTAAGGTTCCTCTTACTGCTTCACAAAACAGCAAAAATAATAAAAGGTCACCACAGCACATTACTGAAAACTTCCATGGGAAAGGACACTGCAAATAATGTAATGTCAATATGCTCTGATACAAGAGCTTTGAATATATGGGAGGTATTGAGGGAATCACAGATTGGATTTTAACACTATCCTGTTTTAGCAGTGTGTTTACAAGTGTGCAGCATCACACTGAGCCAAGGGGTTATGCTTCTGAAATACCACCACCTAAAGCTGCTGTTTTAAACAGGTATCTTTACATTAAATCAGTGACAGTTACTTTTGGGTCCATGTCTTTGACAGCATTCCAGCTTTGGAAGGAGGGTTGCTGAATGGAGACCAGCCAGGTCTGTGGTGTGTAGCTGGAAGCAGAGGCTGCCTGTGTGTTCTTTGATACCCTCTAGTGCAAATGAGCTCAGACAGCAGCTGAGGAACAGCTCTGGGGGTGGTTATGATGCTACAAATTCACAAAATACTCTTCCCTTAAACACTCTGAAAGGCAGATGGGCTCTGTCCCCTGCCTTAGGGCTTGGTCCAGGACAGCTGCAGGTTCTCAGCATCTTTTAAGATCAAGGGCATGTTCTTTTATCAAATAAAGAGTGTCAGTGAGCTGACCTGTGCCCTGGTGGGAGTTTTGCCTTCAGTGTGAGCTGGACTAAGCCTGCTGGACTCATTCTCAGAGAAGGGAAGGAAGGGAAAGTCCTGCCCGTGGGTTTTCTTCTGGATTAAAGCCCCGGTACTGGGTAGCCACTGTCCAAAGAGACTTACTCTTCCCTGGGACATTATAAATGTGGACTAGAAAATGAGGCACCTACTTTTCCTTCTTCATGAAAAAAAAAGCTTTTTCTGATATGATCCAAGTAACAATTAATGACACAAGTTCTCTGACATGAGAGGGGCTTCTAAGCCTTTGTATTTTTTTTTTTTGAGACCCTTCCAGGATTCTTTCACAGGATGGATTTCATAACTGGTGCAAGTGAGGATTAATTAAGACACAAAATGGGTTTGAAACTAAACTCATTGCCCCTGTGGGAAACTAAACTCATTGCCCCTGTGGACAGAAAAAAAATCCCCCAAACCAACTGAACAAAAGCTGTATCCCAAACAGTCCTTGCTGGAAAAAAAAGTTGTCATCCAAATTAAATTGACTATACAAAATTAAACTCAGTAGAGGGAATATTTGTGCCAGGTACTCTCAGATACAATTGCAGAGATATTATGTGAGTTGCAATATTGTGCAAAACGTGAGTCCTCATTTTGATGGGCACTACCATATATAACCAATTTCATCATCCTTATCATCATCTTCATCTTCATCATCTTCATTAGCTGCTCTTACATGAATCTTCAGTTTCCCTTCTTTGTCTTTTTTTGTTGCTTCAGGTTCCTCTTCCAAATCATCCAACAATACAACAGATCCACCACTGCCAAAATCCCCTGAAGTTTCTTGCTCTTCTTCTGAAACAGGAGAGCAGGAAAGGTCATTTCCACAGAACACCAAATTCCACATTAATCACTATCCTTGTCATGCAAGCCACTGTCATTTGCAATGTTATTTTTAAAATTAATTTGTTCAGCTATTCATGAAATAACCTTAAAATTTCAATTTTCATTCTGAACTGGAATAAATAGATATCAATTGACTCTGAAAATTTTTTTTGCATAAAATGCCCCCTATGCATTGTCCCCCTCATAATGGGATGACTGGAAAGTTCCAGATCACATGGATGCAGGCCAGAAAATCATTATTCCTTTGTAAATACTTTCATTCCATCATGTCTCTGTAAACCAGGCTAAAAAATATAAAAAATGGTTTTGAGTGCCTAAACCTCCCTCTGCAAATGTAGCTTATTGAAACTAAGATCTGTGATGTGATTCAGGGCATCCTGGACCTTCTAGGTCTGTAACTGGACTCACAACCATCCCCAAAGCACTCTGAAGGACTGCAGGTGACATCTCCTTGTACAGGCACAACAGCTAATTGGTGATTTCACTTACCTACATAATATTGTCCTGTCAGCAATTTCATTTGGCTTGGTTTGTAAATTTCACAGTTTAGGCCTTCCCTTGTCTGGAAAGGCATTATAGATGAAGTTCCAGTAGATGTGCATTCCAGAGTATATAGAACATCATATTTAATAACCACGCAGAGCAACCTCAGACTCTTAATTTTAATATCACAAACTGCACTTTCCAGGCTGGTAGCAAAAATATCTTAACAGTGGTTATTGCCTTGTGCTGCACCCCTGCTGTCCAAAGCACCCACGAGGGCCCCATGTGTAGAGGAAAACAGAGGAGCACTTTGAACCTGGTACTTGTGTGTTTCTCTTTTGTTATCATACTCGGTGGTACAGCAATGGCAGGACTTACAGCAGTGTTAATTCCCCTGCTGTCTGAGGAAAGCAGATCATTACTCACCACAGCTGACTGTGCCTTGCTTTCTGGAGCCAGCTATCTCATTGCCATACTTATCAACACACCAGCACTGCCCCGTGCTGCCATGGCACTGCGTGGCTTTGTAATAACCTTCTTCATTGCACCGGGGGATGAAAGCACCTGAATAAAATATAAGGTGTGCTCAGTAATGCAATCCTCTGCAGGAGCAAACACAGAGAGGGTATTATGAACTTAGCACTTATATACATGAAGATCTCGACTATGTTGGCAAGGAAATACATGTGATAATCTGGTGCCTAAAAGGAGGAAGAAATTATTTCTGGTTTACTCTTTTCAGACACCCTGATCACAGTGTACAAATGTTTGTTCGCATCCAGCACATGGAGGAGGGTGTCACACAGCTCTAGAGAGAGGTTCAGTCAGCCTCTGAATGATTGATATTGCCACAGAGCCTTTTCACATTTAACTCCTGGCTCTAAACTTTTCTTTCCAACCGGATTATTACCCCAACTTCATTAGTTCTGCATTTCCCTCCATTTGCACTCCTTCAGTGTTTATCACATGAGTCTTTCCACAGCACTGTAATTATTCCTGGAAGGTATCTGCCATCTGCTTGCTATTCATGCTAATCTCAGGCACATCCCCTGACTTACTGACAGTTCCCATGTATAGAAGAAATAATGCACAGGCTTTACGGAGAGGGACAACAGGATTTGAATCAGTAAGTCTTTGGATTTGAAGCCCAAATTTTGTCTCACAATAAAACCAATATATTTCAGCCTTGTAGAGTGTGGTTCATTCTGGCTTCTGCAGAGAGGGAAACTCTCAGGAGAAACCTATATCATTATTGCCACCATTTTCAGCAGATACAGCAAATGTACTTCAATATGAAAAGCCCTCTTGTCCTTGGAGATGAATTAGCTTTTCCCCACTGGAGGTCAGTACATTCATTTTTCCCTTCTTTGTCAATTGCTTCAATTTGAAACATGGCATAAACACACCCTTGCCCCCAAATATCTTGTCTCAAACGATTTTTGAGAAAGTGTTTTTCTCCTTTTCAAAGATACCAGTGATCTACTGGTGGTTCAGTGAGGTTTTTTAACTAGTTTCATGGGTAGCATCTATTCAGACAGCACATGTGTCAAAGGGGCCACTTCCACTACATTTCTCACAAGGAAAAATGAATGAGAAGGTGCTGCCCAAATGTCACCACTTTTCCTGTATAAAAGACATAAAACTGGAAGTTAGTCAGTCTCATGCACACAGAAAACAACACAAAATGAATCTGAATATCCACACTCATTGCTCTGCAGATCTTGTCTAATGTTTGAGTGCTGCTAATACAGGTCTGTGAGATGAAAAGAGAAACCTCTGAACACCTGCAGAAATATTTGTTTATCAGATGAGTTTTGGAGACCACATCCATGAGTGAGAGTATTTTAAATAATGTCAAAGCATGATCTTATATCAGGTTTGCTAATAGGTACCACCATTATGTTCACATACAAATGTAAGCATGCTAGCAACTATCAAAGATTAATTTTAACTATTTATAAGACAATAGTTTTAATAACAAATGTATGTATTTGCCTTGGCAGGTAAGTTAATACTCAGTGTTCAAAACTTTATTTCAATATTGATTAGAAAAGATTTTTTTTTTCATATTTATGCTCATGTCCTGTCTCTGATAAGCACTCCAGGTGTTTATCAAACCATACACAGCCTTGGGAAAAGTGGTCAGGTGCTGACTTGGAGCTGGTGTAAACCAGCATAGCTGCACCCATGCCACTAGAGCTGCCCTTTTATATCTGATGAGCATCTGGCTCCAGGGAAGGATCTCAGAGGCATTACAGGGTGAGCAGAGAACAGCTTCCGCATTTTAAGCTGTCTCATACTTTCTCTTTTCCTAGGGCAATGCAACCTTTTCCTTCTTTAAAACAGGCCTTCTTGCATAGTTTCACTGTTTCTTGTACGGCATGAAAATGTTCCATGTCACCTATAAAAGCTTTAAAAGATTTAAAAATAAATTATGGCCCAGGCTCACTGCCAACATAACTGTGTGTGGAATAGATTCACACTTTGGGTCACAGAGAAGAGTGGAAGGAACTTTTCCTTCTGTGTGGGAAATTCATGCCAATTTGTATGTAACACTGAAGCTTTAAATATTTAGCTATGCATACTAATGTCACAGTATTTCAACCATCAGAGGGGAGATACAGCATGTCCTCCCCAATGTGTCAGGTGCAGGTGATAATCTGGAGAGGATAGAGAGTCGCTGGGAACAAGTGTTGTACAATGTGATGATTCTCCCTGTGAATTGTACACAAATCAGCCTGTCTTCGTTAAAAATAAACTGACTACAAGCTCTGCTATCCTGGAGCATGGCACCTAGACAGACCATTTGGGTTTGGCATCAGAGAACATCTGGAGCTTTCATCTCCAGAGGTTCTTGCACAGGCAGTGCTTCCCCACAAACCTGGACACCACAAAATGTGAGTCACTCCCACAAACTGCCTGAAGCTGCTGAATCCTGCCTCCCCATTGCCCTTTGTCCTGGGAAGGGTTTAGTTATTCCACACAAACTTGACCAGCACTGTTTCATCTGTGTCCTCTTTATGGACTCAGACCTATGCCTCTTTTTTTTGTAATATTATTTCCTTATCTACATAATACTCCTCTTCCTTAGAGAACAGGAGGAGAATAATTATATGCTAAAGATAGTGAAGCAAACAGGTAAAAGCATGTCAGAATTAAGTGCTAGCCAGCACACAGCTCCTGGTATTAGCTATTATATTAGCTGAATCCAGAGGGTTGATACAGGAGAAAACAGTGATGGGAGCAGAAATTTATTACTTTAGTGATGTGGGAGAAGCATTATCAGGCTGCACAGTTGTATGCTCTAAAAGTATAGTCTCTGCAGTTAATTGTACTCCAGATAAATCTGGTAGGAAAAGATGAATAGTGCTGTTTACTTTTTAATTCAGTCTCCTGGGATGCTAGACTTCATTTGAAAGCCTCCAAATTCAAATACCTAATGGCAATGGCTTTGAAGTACTTTGTTGCAACTGTCATGTGTTTTGAAAAATATATGGAGAAGGAAATATCAAAAGTCATCATTTTTATCAATGGATACAACTTAACAAAAACATTCTTCATGCTACTGCCCATGCTACTGTAAGTGCTGTGCTCTCTTTGTCAGGGTCAGAGGAGGAAAGAGAATAATTAAAGATTAGTTTCTCTGAAAATATTAGTCTCTCCAACTTTAATGTTGCTACAAGTCATGTGTATGTTTGTGCTTCCATTTGAATGATTTTTCAGTCAGTGAAGAGAAAAGACAATGCTTTCTGCTGTATAAATAGCTCTGATATCAAATTAAAATCTTCCAGACAGGTGTCATTATGCAGGAAGACTTTCAGGGTCGGTGAAGCAAAGAGTTCCTCTTTATATTGTAATCTTCTAGCTTGTGGAACAACCTGTGCCTGACACCTTGATTTGTTGAGCTTCACCACTTTCATTCTTCTTCAATTTTTTTTTTTTTTTAATACAGTTGACTAGAAGTTATTTGTGCTAAGGGACCATTCTTACTGCTTTTACTTTGTCATTTTACTTCTGCTATTGTGATCAGATCCCAGTGACATGTGCTACAACCACCTGCATGTTGAACTACCTGCAACCCAGGCATCATTCTTCCTACACACCAGAATAAACTACTTATGTTTCAACCTAGATGACATTTATTGCACATAGAAAATAACAGCAAAGCATAAAATAAATATGGGATAGTCAAAGCTATCTATTAAGAACTGGGCTTCTTACTCTTTTAGGTGGCTTTGAAAATGATGACACCCATGAGACAGAGAACACTGTGACTTCCTTTGCCACAACATTCCCTTGAACACAAATGCAGAATATTTACTGAATGGAGCACACATACCCCGAGTGATCAATCCTCCCTTTGCTCCCACAGCTATGAACAGTAGGAGCTGTAACTCTGAAACATCTTAATCTTCATGTGAACTGGAAATGAAAGGATGATGGATCTAAACCACAGTCCTTGTGGCCTTTAGGAATGTTTATTCTTAATTTAAACCAATGAATTTGGTTGGGATTGTTCACAAAGCACCTGAACCTTGAGTCCAAATGGCAGTGGCATCTGGGAATGGCAGGATTTGGCAGAGCTGAGCTGCTTGCAGGGTCTGCTGTTGAGTGAGGAGAACACCAAGCTGGAGTGTGGGGGCACGGAGCAGCACCGCAGCAGAGCTGACGTGCACACCCTGTGCTGCAGCTGCTGATGCTGTGGGAACCTGACATGTTCTCCATGATGGGGCTGACAGCTGGGGCTGAGGTCAGCCACTCTCCTCAAGGGTGAAGTGCAGGGCTTGCTGTTAACAGGGGTTTTCATCTGTCCTGCTGTGCCTCAGGGGTGGGCTCTGTGTGCACAAATGTGCTGGGACACAAGCTTCAGTAGAACACCAGCACACAAACGCCAGGCTACACATCACTGGGTGATTTTAGGGTAGGGAATTAGTCACCTGAAATGTTTTCAGTTCAGCAACCTGATTTTTTAGCAATTAATTGGGAAAATGCCAGATGGGGATTTATTTGTCCTAATTTTAGATATCCATCAGTGCAATATAAGTCATGAATCAATTCAGGCTCCCAATAGGCATGAGGGAGAGGGACAGGCATGACCACATCTTACAGCACGAAGCACCCTGCAGGCTGCCTAAAATGAGATGATAAGAATTCCTATTTTCATACACACAGAACATACTGAAATATTTTAAAGAATGAACCCCAAGGAAAGCCTGCATTGCACCACAACTGGAAGGGAACATGAATGAATTGGCTATGCACCTTCAGTCACCCTTCAAAAATGGGAGCCTTGAGTATCAAGCAGCGTCCCAGTACTTACTCTGACCTGTGAGGTGATGAAGGCAGTATTAAGCTCTGTGCAGACAAGGCTTTGCATTTCTGGAGAGCTGTAAATTAGTTCTGAACCCGCTGCCACGCTGACACCTGTTCTGTGTGTTGCTATCTCATTATTTGTTTAATTTCATAGTGTCAGGCCTACGCTCGGTGCTGCATATTCCTGACTCCAAACATTAGTCTCTAATTGAAAAACCATTACTGCATATAAAGTTACAATAATCACAGAAGCTTTAATTAGTTGAGTAAATGAATAGCAAGTAATCGAACTTACCCAACAGACTCTTCCCTCTACTTAGCTTTTGAATTCTATTCATTTCATTCTGGCAAGGAAGACCTAAAATATAATGTATAAGAATCAATTTCCAGATGGTATGGGACAGACTCTGTAATGACTGGCTTCACTGCTGACATGAAATGTAGGCTACTGTACACCTGGGACTGAGAGAAGCCCATATGCTGCTACTGTACAGCAAAACAAATTTATGTCATTAGCTCCACTAATTAAAAAAAAAAAAAAAAAAGGCAACACACTGTAGTTGTGAGTAGTGTTTGGGGGCCATTTTAATTGTTAAACCATTCTACCTCTCTTTTCACCAAACTGACATCATGCCAGCTCTCTGATTTATGACTTGCTAACTGGCAATTGACACAATTCCGTGTTAATAAAAGATAAATTCTTGAACTTTCTGTCTGCAGTAGAGTTTATTTCTAGACTGTGCGCACTGACACTTACTACTTTGTTTTGTTTTAATGATCAAGGCATGTTAATACAGTTCATCTGTGACATTAAACAAGGTTCCACAATGCCCTTCGCATTGCTGCTGGGGAAAAGGGCTTTTTAACACACCTGCCTGCCAATGACCAATCTCTACAGGCAGGCCCTGAAACACAAACAGGGAGAGCCAAACAGCTCCTCTGGATCACAAATAGCACAGCTCACCGCCCGGCTTCTGGAAGCAATAGCACCACTCGTTGTTGGAAAGCTTCCCGTCTTTGAAGGAATCGCAGGAGTTGAAGAGTGGCTTGACACACGGCTCGTACTTATCCAGATAAATGGCACTGATCTCCGAGGGATCCAGCAGCAGGTCATAGTTCATGTCAAGTTTGTTGAACATCCAGCCTAAGGAGTCCTTACAGATTGGTAGGATGCTGGTGTCAAATCCTGTAAGAAGACAGGCAAATATTCCCCAGCTGATCCCCGGCATGCCCCCAGCACAGGAACCACTGCTAAGGTGAAGCCTTGCCTGCTTTTCTTTTTTTTGGCTGGACTCTGATCATTGAGCTGACTTGCCCAAAGCAGAACAAAATCCTAAGACTGAACTGATTGTGTAAAGCTTAAAGCCCAAGCACAGCTACAAACTAGAGAACTACTCACACTCTGTGGGAGCTGTGGGGTAGAGAGGGCTGAGATTCATAACTGGTTTCTGGAATTCAAAGTTATTTCTACTAAAAAAATTCTTGCTTTTTTTTTTCAGTCCTCAGTCCAAGTGGGTTGGCCTGGTTCCAGGAAACTGAAATGTGATGAGAAAAGGCTGCATCCACCATATTTTCAAACTAGACTGAATCTGAATGAAATTTAAATCCTGTTTCCCAGACTCGTTTCTAGTTGCCTGATCAAATTCTTTCCTGCTGTGCTCTCACCTTCTACCTCTCATCCCTGCTTTTCACTCTTCAAAGGCCTGTCTGTGTGGCTTTTGACAACAAACTGCTTTGATCTGGACTGTGAGCTGTCTGGGGGAGGCAGGGAGAGAGAAGAGGTGGAGTGTCTCTGTTTCTTACACCACTCTGAGGTAGGGCACTGCTTCAGCTGGAGCTGCACAGAGCTGCCCATGCTCTTGTATGCTGCACCAGCACCACTCCTTCCTGCAGCTTCCAGGATTCTGCAGCAATACAGGATTCTGCTTTTCCAGCGCTTTGGAAACCATCACCATCATTCATTTTAATAGCCCAGATTCTTCAAAGACTGCTGCAGCAGCAGTGGTTATCACAGAAAGCCCAAGTCATGCATATAGATCCCCACTGTGTATATGAGCTACACGTTCCAGTATCCTGCCATCTCCAGAAAAACAGTGGCATGGGGCACTATAAATCCACACTGTCATGGTATTTTTTCAATGCTTAGACTAAATTCCAAGTTATCTACAATGTAAGGAAGTGTATTTGTAATACAGAGATAGTAATTCTGATAACAAGGGTATTGGTTTGAACCAGGACTCAGGAACATGAATCCATTGGTTGGGGATTTGCAGAGACAGAAGGCTCCAGATACCCTGGGGCCTCTGGTGCTCACACTGCTCCAGCTATGAGCAATAACCTGCCTGTGCACTGCTCACTCTGCTTTGGGCCATGTACAGAAGCCTGATGAGCTTTTTCCTTTGGCTGAAAGAGGTTAAGCTCAGCTTTATTTGCTGTACATGTCCCTTTCAGGATGCTGCTGTGTTGAAGTGAAAGCTGAGATGTTGCTGGAATCACGCTGACAGTTTGTCCAAGCTCTGCAGCCTACCTGCTATTTTAGACATTAATCCAAAGGAGAGCAGGGCTTTGTGCTGGAAGCTCTGTTTTTTGTATGCAGCTGTGGCTAAAGGTTGTCAGTGACACAGAGGGACAATCAGAAAGGTTAACTAATGGGAAGGTTTGTGTCACTCATAAAGTATTTTTCTCTAAGGAAGGAAGAAGGTAACGCCATTTCCTCAGGGCTAGAGGCAGCTCAGGCAGGGAAGAGAGAAATCATGCTGAACATTTCATCACATTTTTATGCTGTTATCTCCCGTAACATTATCTAATCATGTTTGAGAACAGTGAAAAAGAATAAGGCTGTGTGAATAGATGTAGGGGGGAGCTGCTTGCCTTGCTGAAGCAATTAGAAATATTGACTTCAATTATTTAAGTCATCTGAAGCAGGCAAGCAGGATTTGGTCACTGCGCAATCTTTTGTCAAGTGAAAGGATTTAGGATTCCTCACCTTTGCCTTTACAGAGCAACAGGAGCAGGGCACAGAGTCCTGCCCTGTGCAGGTGTATGGTGCCAGATTCCCCACCTCAGGGCAGGTTAAAGCAGTCAGGCAGGGGTGGATCATTCAACTGCACGGCGGAGCTGGGACCTGCCCCAGCTATCCCAGTTTAACAGTTTTCAAGAGAAAAAATCAGTTTCCAGTGTCTGCTCTTTTTCTGCACAGATGCTCTCTGGCAACGGACTTTACATGCCATGGTGGCACTCACTGCTGCAAAAGATGAGTAACTCAGGTGTTGTATGATCAGTTGAGGACTGTATGTGTTGCTCAACCCTGATGGGTCTCTAAAGCTCATCTTTTAACTGCTAGGGATCAATACAGAGAGGAGGAGATCTTGGAATGAATTGCCCCCAACAGTGCCTGTAGATTATTTCTGAGGCTTGTTTTCCTCCCTGCTGGGAAATCTCCACCTGTGTGTACAATGGGGATACACCACCAGCCTGCCCTCAGCACCAGCTCAGCACCTGCCTGAGCAAATCACCAGTAGTGACTGCTGTGAGTACAAAGCTGCTCTGTGACACACCATCAGGGCTTGGATGGGAGATACAGTTGGGAAAAGTCACTCGAGAAGACAGTTAATTACATTAGTTGGATAGGTTTTGATCATAATTTCTTATAAACAAAGGAGTTGTTGTGGTCACTGTTGTGACCAGACTTCCAGGTTAGATTTATTAAAAGGCTGGTTTATTAAACATTTCTGGATTGCCAGACAATGTGGTCTGGAAGTCCTGAAATATTGGCATGGTAGGTGTGACAGAAAGTCATTAGCTAGACAGTTATTTTCAGTGGGTAGTTAATTCTTTAATTGTCCCCTAATATGTAGTTGAAGGTAAATAGTAGCTCCACTTCATATTGTCTCCTGCCCATAAATCACATTTTGCAACTTTGCATCTGCAGCCCAAATCCAACAGTTCTGGATGCTCTCAGCACCCAGCACCAGGAGTGAGAGCCAAATGTGCCCTAAGTGTGCAGGGCTCTGACTCACAGCATAACCAGGGCAGCTGATGGAAAATGGCTTTTGGAACTTGCTTACCTGCACTGGGAGGTCACTGCTCCCACCAGCCTGGTGGGGCCAAGTGACATTGAACAAATTAACTTCTTATAGTCTTTTGATATACTTATCTATAAATATGATGCAATCTTCTGGATGAAATAAATTCTGTAATAATTCAGTGCTTGGTTAACAGACTGGATTTGCAGCTTAACAGACTCAGAATAAGTAACCCCAGTGAGAACTTCTCTGCATCTTTCTGTCTATCAGTGCAGTGCTGCAGTGCCTTTGGTGAGAAGCCTGAGAATGGTGCAGGCTCCACATCCCTCTTGATTCCTTGGCAGAGGCTGCCAACACACATGCCAGTTAATGTCAGCTGAGGTGGTGGCTGCTCTCATTTGGACACCTGCTCACAAGGACCTGGACTGAGACCATCGGGTTCCTCTTTCCAACTGACAGCTGTTCAGCATCCTGACAACTTTCATTCACTACAGAGCTGGAAGAAAATCAAGCTGGTGACCTATATGTTTAAGTCTCTCATCCCATTAACACATAGAATGCTCTACCTCCTCTGAATTAAAAGGGAATTAAATTAAAAAAAGTCTTTAGGTGACAATCCTTATTAAAAATAAACACACCTTCTGGCATGAAAAAATTATTTTCCCCCTTCAAGAGTTGACTTGCATGAGCCATTTTTATTTTATTAAAGTATACTACAATTAAATTAACAGGGGTATTATTAACCTAATTTCCCCCATCGCTTAAAATAAAAGAAGGAGGAGAAGAAATGTTCCCCAGAAAAAGTCTTTTATATTGCACAGATCTCTAGTATAAGAAAAACAACACCCACTCCAACCAAGGAGACTCTCTGGATACAATACAGGGATGTTATGAATTATCAACAGGCTCAGGAGCAATTTGAATCTGATCTTGCTACCTAATTAGTTTTATTATTTCCCTATGTCAAAGCATGTCCCTGAGTTTCTTACATCATTTATTGAGGAGATTTTAATTGCACAAAGCCTTCAGAAGACAAAGTACCTGGCCCATGGTGCTTTGCTGGGATCAGAGAGCTCAGGGAAGGAAGGTTTGAAATCTAAACACAATGATCTCCTTCATCCTTTTCAAAGAATTACAAAGAAAACAAAAAGGGAGTGTACTTTTTTTTCTTTACCTGGGGGTGAACATAGTACACTCACAATGCTTATTTACACTCACGCTAACATCATCAAAAATTAATGTAGCATAGAGAAATCTCTGCTAGAAGACCTTCTGCAGACAGCTGATGTGTCCGAGGCCTCGCAGCGATGGCATCCCACCATCTGCTCCTTTTACTGCCACAGGGGCACATCCAAAATGGATTACTTTGAGGATGTCCATGCGTTTTCAAACTCTGCAGGCACAACCAGAGCAGTTCAGTTTAATGAAGTGATGTGTGTGGTGAGGAGGGTAACACATGCAGAGCCATATAAAAGGGCAGTGTGTACATCAGAGTGTGTTACCAGAGCTGTGCATGTCCTGTTTGCCAGGATTCACACACATTCTTTTCTACAGCTTGGGTATGTGAACTTTGCTTTGAATTCTGAGCCCTGTTTAAGGTGTCTTTCATTTTTAACAATGTTTGAAGTTGGAGAGAGCTAAATACTGCTATCCTCACCCTGTGAGTATTTTCAGTGCCACCAGAGAGAACGTGAGCTGCAGAATTTGGCACATGCAGATTAATTCATGAATACTGCTGCAGAACTTCAGAAGGAAAAAACAAGCCCAAGTTTTGTGGAATTCAAAAATGGCTTAGGCATCTAAACTCATAAAGTTTCTTTCTTTTTCTTTTCTTTTTTTTTTTTAACTGATTTAGAAGAAAATAAGAGCATGTGCCAAACTAAGTCAACAGCCTAAAAATGAACATTGTTGAGATCAAGTGTTTAAGATCATCAGGCAGCCTTTCAAATAAAAGCTGCCAGGAATCAAACTAAACTAAAAAGAGATAACAGCTCCTCTGTGAATCAGAGCAAACACTGCAGAATTACCAGGAATGTTTTTCTCCCTGAAACTGCTTAAGCAAAAAAAAAAAAAACACCCAAAAAAACCCCCAAACCAAAAAAGACTCAACACCTTTAGGATTGTATTTGGTCTTTGGCCTCTGGCAAGGTCATCATGAGGATGTCACGAATCATCTGCATGAAAACATCCTTCTGACAATCTGATAAAATGAGATTTCCTGTGATTCTGGGTCTAAAGGACTTCAAACAAAGTTTAAAGCCTCTAAGGCTTTCTGTCATGGGGTTTGAAATGAATTCACATCTGGAAGCCACGATTAGCTGTACATTCAGTTGCTTTCTGCACTGTGGTTCAGATCCTCTGTATGAGAATATCTTTTTTTGGAGAACTGTTTCAGAAATAAGTAGGACATATGGTTTTAAAGATACTGACTTTGTTGCAAATACTATGCAAAATAAGGGACACATGAGAAAAGATCATTTACATAGAACATAACGTGTTTCACCACAGAATTTTAAGATCTGTAGTGAAATTATTGAGTTTGACAATAGTTTTGAGCAATATAGCCTGTGGTATATTGTCTCTTTAGGAAGAGGCAATCTGTTGCTCCCCCAGCTGAGATGTAGCACAAAAGAGGGAGGCTGTGGGGACCTGGACCAACAGAAAATGCCTGCCCTGATGTGCTGGGTCTGCTCTAGTGCCCTTGCAGTCTCTGAGGTGTCTCTCCACAGGGACACCAGGTGAAAGGAGCCATAAAAGTGGCAGCTGACTGAACCCTTCAAACTCTGGGTTTGGACACTGCCTTTAGACAGCTCATCTCAGAGAATCAGTGAAGTGACAGTGAGGTACAGACCTAGATAAAACTTGTGCATCCTACTTTGCAGCCCAAGGGTCCACGTGTTTTGGGACATACTGTTTAAAAGAATTAATGAGTCCTTACAGAAAGTGAATTTGCATCTGCTCTCTGATGAGCATGACCTCTTTTAACGCTGTTATCTGAATCTTTCCCCTCCCTGGTGGCTAAATGACATCAAAATCAGTCATGTTGGCTTAACCCACAGAGAGTAGATGTCCTCTAGACTGTTCATTTTCTTCCTTTCTTAAAAAAAAATGCATCAAAGGAGGCAAAGACGGTGTTATTAAATACCTTGGACAGAATGGGCTCCAGCTTTCTCAGCCATTTAACTCTTCTAGCTCCATGGCTCATGTGTGGATCTTTTAATTATTCTCTCCCTTACATAAACTGTTAGCAGGAAATTTTAAAGTAAAATCTAGCTGGGTTTTTTCCAATACTGGCATAATATGCCTGTATGACGTATTTTCACCTTATGCCCCTGACATTGTGTCAGAAAATGCTTGGCCATAAAACTGCTGGTTAAGCAGAGACCAGAGCCCAATCCCAAGAAATTATCTGGATGCAGCCACATTGAATTGGAGGGTGAGGGAATTTAACTGTACAGACACAAACTACACCATATTAATTAACCCCAGCACCTGAGAAAAGTCCCTGAGCAGTTTCAGTTCCTGACCATTGCTCTGAGTTTAAAGCAGTGTTTAAAGTAAACACACACCTCACACAGTGGTGATCTCCATGGCCTTCAGACATTTATTTGCCCGAGTAACTTGTGAAGGTCTCTCTAACTGCCAGTTTTTAGAGCAGTTTGGGCCAAAGAGAGGACAGAAGGACTGCAGCTCCTTCAGAAAACTATTTATTTATTTCAGGTCTCAGGTACCTGCTTATTCACTGGCACCTGCCTGACGGGATGTTGCAGCACCAACAGCTGTGCTCAGTTCAATGCTCCCAGCTGGGGAAGCTCCTACAGAACCCAAATGTTCAATGGGAAAGGGGTTTTCTTACTGCCTTGTGCCGTCTCCGAGCTCGTGGGTTTGATGACACGATTCGCATCCTCGTGAAGGGCACCGAACCAGTCCTTTAGCCTCGAAGCCAGATTCCTCAGCTCTTTGTCTGTGCAAGCTAGGAAAGAACAAAGCACCATACTGAGTCAGGAGCACCAGGGAAAAACCTCTCCCCAGAGGGTCCATTAGAAAAATTGTGTTTATGGTTGTAAAGTTCTCCTCATTAAGAGCTCTGAAGGAAAAAGGGAAGGTCAGGGAGAAGGATGCAAGATAAAAAGAAAATGTAAGTTGTTATGAATTATAAGTTGTACTCAAGTACTTCCTTGGAAGCTGACACGATTGGTGATGGAAGAAGTGCCACACAGAGCTCCCTGCCAGTTGGCAATTAGAGCTATGTGACTATTTAACTTAAATGTTTTCACCTTTTAGGATTTCAGAGAAAAATACCAGTCAAACAGATGGGGAGGAGGGACATTGTTGCCTAGACATGCTACTTGAAAAAGATGCTAGGGATAACTTATAACATTTGGCTTAGTATAAGGCTATTATCACCATAATAGAAAATATATATACTTATTTATACACAGAAAAAATTGTTATGTTGGTCTAGTTCTACTGCAAGTGAGACTCTACCACCACTGAAGGCTGTCAATTCCATTTTGTTATCTAAGTAAAACATTTATTTTCTTACAAATTTTACTGTGAAGTATCTAATTTTCCCAAAAATTTCTGCCAAAAGATTAATGTCCAGGTGAAGCAATTCTTTTTAAGGAAGAAAGCTACATTAGCCACAAATTTCTGTCAAAAAAAATATTCTTATTTCTGTATCATGTTTAGTGCTTAAAATTCACATGCTCAGGCAATTTTATTATTCCTGCTGTGCACTCATTCTACATTTTAAATGACATTTCTTGAAATACAGAGCAAGATTTTATGCCATAGAGGCAGACATCGTTCACAGTCACAATAAGTTTTCTCCGTCTCACTGCACATTATAATATTCCTCCTTCCACCTTACTGAAGAACAATTGAGTCCCACAGCTCTCCCAAGTTAGACTCTCTGCTCCAGTGACAAGAAACTTGCTGATATGTCATGGCTCTTCTGAGGATTTGTTTGTTCTCACTCTTTAGTTTGGGATGGGAATAACTTTGAAGTTAAAAATAGAAATTATAGCCTCTTCTAAATTTGAGAGGGGAGAAAAATAAAGATTTTCCCATTTTTTTTCTCTGTAACACCAGAGTTTGATAAATTTTCCTATGAAAGATAAAACTATGACAATTACTATCCCTTTAAAGCTGAGTCCAGGTAAGGAAAAATCAGGTCTTGAACAAAAAAATCCCATCAGTGTAAAATAAATGGAAGACAACGCAGTCCGAATTTAAACTGGCCTACCTTGCTGAAAAAGCTTACCTCTTCATTTTCTCACTTGAATTAACACTACATTTTGCTCATGGTAAACTATCTTATCTTTCCAAGTTGGGTGAAAAAAAAATAAAAAGGATTAATTTGTCCAAGAAATGAGTAATTTAAAATAAATAGTTTTATTGTGCAAACCTGATACTTAATTAAATAATTAGATACTTCTTAAATAAACATTGTGGCACATGTCATCTTTAGCAGGCCAAGGCTGGAACTGTGGATTACAAACATCCATTCCTGTGCCTTCCTGACCCCTCATTGTGCCTTCTGGGCAGGCACACTGAGCTTCACAGTCAAGGCCCAGGAAAAAGAAGTAATAATAAAGAAAATACCTTCTAGAGCCATTTTCCTGATTCAGATTTGTTTACTCCCAAACACAAAGCCAACCCCAGACACCACAGCAACCCAAAGTAAGCCAAGGGACACTGGATTTGCTTCCAAACTCGCCCTGTATGGAGGGCAGGAACAAGGAGCACACTCAGCTCCTCTCCCAGCCCCAGCAGCCTGCAGGGTGCTCTCCCCAGGGCCAGATAAAGTCTCTAAACTGAATCTCACAAAGTGATCATTTGGTGTAAGCTGCATTGACTGGGGTAATTGGAATCCATGCTTTTAAACTGCAATACAAACCAGGACTGAATGCATAGCATAGGTGGGACATAAGCAATCAATTAATGGTAAACAGAAGTAATTAATGGTACATCAGACTTGAAACAACTGCTCTCTATAATCAGCCAATCAAACATGTCAGAGTCTGTAAAATGCCATTTGTAATGAAGCTGTTGCAGTTTTTCCATGTCTGTACCTTCAGCCATGTCGAGAAAGAAGCTTTTTTTGAGGGCAGTGTTTAAGAGTGGACCCTGGGTGAATTTATTCCTCTTGTTTTTGCTTACAAACTCTGCAGATTTCCTTTAGAATTTGATCTGAGGCATGACTGACAGTAAGCCCAAAACTGGAGTTTTCTGCATTCTGGATAGTTTTTCTGTGAATAACTGAGATATTCCTTAAGTATGCTGCTTAAGGATGATTCCACAGTGAATATGATGTTGAGGTTCTCCCATAGGACTGCAGTCTTTCTTCACTAGAATAAATGCTGTTTCATGAGTCAAACAGGAGCCAACTTTGCTATTAATATGGAGTGAATAATATAGTTCTGAACAAGACTTCAAAACTTTAATGCAAAGTTCAGTTAAATTTCAAGTACTTAATGCCCTCAATTTTACTTTCTCCTGCACATTAAAATAGAGGAAGTATCCTTCTATTTTACATTTCTTGTATTAAATTTTATTTTAATGCTACTATGCCTGTTATGAATATCCTGCCTTTCTACCCAATGGAACTGCATTCCATTTTTATTTATTTCATTTGAACTATATCAGAGGCATATAATCATTCTGAAATTGTTTAGTTTGGAGCACATTTGGGACACTTCAAAGTGGATTGACATTCAGGGGGCAGGAGTTTCATACAAACAAAGTCATTGCTCTGGCATCCAGGAACCACAGCACTCAGTGTTTTATTTCAGGTGGTTGGGCCCATTAGTTATATTTCAAACAATTAGAAAGCATAGCTCTGAGAAGCCCCTCATCTGAGATCCTTATATATAAATTTACATTAGTAGAAGTTATAAAGCATTTTTAAGAACCCTCTTCATGAAAAATGCAGTGCAAATGTACCTCTTCACTATTAATAGAAGTTTCAAGTCACATTTCTCAGATGAGAAGAACAGGGCTGTAGGAGGAATGGATGTGATAATGGGTCTCTTGCTATTTGAAGATTTATAAGGAGAGAACACCGGGGTTGCAAACAATATGGATATTGACATGGCTTGAAGCACTGATTTAAAAATCCAGGCTGAAGAGAATCACCAAGGGAGGAGCCTCTCCATAGCCCCTCTCTCACAACTGAAATCCATCCAGTCAACTGTCAACAACCATTTAAAGCTCTGGTGCTGTGAAACAGACCCAAGTGCAAACATATGTAAATAGGCATTTTCACCGGTGTGTATCTTCTCAGAGATAAGGGACCCTGGCTTCAATTCATTTCCTCACCTTTTAAAGAGAAAACAACCCACACTTCTTTACCCTTGCTATTTTATTGATGTCAGCAAAGGTTCTGCTTTAGCAGCCATCTGATATCAGATCCTCCTGTAGGTTAAATCCTGGATCCTTCCCTGCTGATGGCTTTGGTGATGTGCTCACAGCCCATGTTTCCCTGAGAGCAGCAGGCTGGCTAACACCCAGCTCAGCAGGCTGACCCCAGGGCACTGTCCCTGTGCCTCAGGTGGCAGTGGGACCTCGAGCAGGGGCACAATCTGTCCCTTCTCTGAGTCTCAGCAATGAGAACACAAAGGGAGGATGTGAGAGCTGCTGGACCCAACAACATCCTCAGATCTGCATCTGCTGATGTGACAAATTATCCTGCAGAAGTGATTTATTAACAAGCACCTTAAGTGCAGATTTATTCCCAAGGGTGAAGCACTTGGTCCAACAGTTATTTATTCCTCACAAACTGAAAGCACTATTGCTAAATACCTATTTTCACCAAGCAGAAAGCATTAATCTGACCTAATGGAAAGCCATTAGTATGCTGTAAAGGCTCAGGCTTTTATGGGCCTGCTTTTGTTATGGACTTTTGCAGCTCTATGGATACTAATCTATATACATTGGTGGTGAAAATTAGCAGTATAATATTTAATTTCACCCTTTCAGACAGGGGCTTTCAATAGTACTTAGTGATAGAAATCAACATTAAAACTGAACTTACCTGTAGATGTATAAGATTAAATCAATACTGAATCACATCCCATTTTTACTCCAGCCTAGCAAAGCAAAATTGAAAAATCTCCATCCACTAACAAAATAAAACCCCCAAGCCTCACAACTTGTATTGCAATGAGTTCTAAACAAAACTTAATACTTAGGAAGCACATTCCTGCAGGACCATATTAGTGTCTCACTGCTGGAACATTCTGGCACTGTGTGGCAAACAAGAAGTCCATATTTTCCAGGAGCAAGTTGCAGTGATATGTAACTGCTCATATAATACACCATTTCCCAACAAGTAAACTATGCAACTAGATTCCCAGAATGTGTACAAAAGGTTTTGTGTCATTTGACTTCCCTGGCATCTCTAGGGCATCTGTCCATTCCCTCTCACTCCTACTGATCTTATTCTAATAATAATTCTTAAAAACAGTATGTCATTCCTACCAATTACGTGTGGAGAGAATGGTTCTTTGGGTTCATATTATTGTTATATAATACTAACTAGTCTCTTAGGTAGAGATTGAGGAGCCCTGAATGCCAAAGGGATGCACACTGAGAGGTGGAACAGCTTCAACTGTTTCTGTACTGTAGAAGGAAAGAAACTGCAAATGCAGAGAAATAACAAAAAGAAAAAAAAAAGTTGGAGCTTTAAAAAATATATATTTAGTTACTGATGTTAGTGTTCTCCTCATGCAAATTAAATCTTCAGCTTAGGGACACGCCACTGCTTTTTAATAACCTGCTTAAGGATGCAAATGTGCTGCCATGGACCAGAATCTATAGGTTGTGGTTGAGGTGACCAGCCACAAAATGTAAATAAGAAACAGAAACCTTTGCAAGAGAGCCCATGGACTGAGATGCTTTTTATTCCCTTGTTGTTGAGAAACAAGAGGTAGTGGATTTATTATTGGAATCCAGCCCTGCCTGCTGCCT